TTGAGGCGGAGCTCTGACCTGGTGGTCCCTGAGCAGCCTCCCAGCAGAGAGAAGCCCTTCAGATGCTTGGAATGTGGGAAGAGCTTCAAGAAGAGCACCAAACTCCTCATCCACCAGCACACCCACACTGGGGAACGGCCCTACACGTGTGGGGAATGTGGGAAAAGCTTCAGGGACAGCTCCTACCTCCTCAAGCACCAGCGCATCCACACTGGAGAACGGCCCTACAGGTGTGGGGAATGTGGGATGAGCTTCAGGTACAGCAGCAATCTCCGCAACCACCAGCAGATCCACACTGGGGAACGGCCCTACACGTGTGGGGAATGTGGGAAGACCTTCAGGGACAGCTCCGACCTCCTCACTCATCAGCGCATCCACACTGGGGAACAGCCCTATACGTGTGGGGAATGTGGGAAGAGCTTTAAGGTGAGCTCCAACCTCCGCAAACACCAGCGCATCCACACAGGGGAGAGGCCCTACAAGTGTGGGGAGTGTGGGAAGAGCTTCACTGAGAGCTCCAGCTTGACCCAACACCAACGGACCCACCGTTAAGAGAAGCCCTTTGAGTACCCCGACTGCAGGAGGAGCTTTGACCGCTGCTTCCACCCTGAATGAAGCCCCTGATGCTGAGGCAACCCCTGGAGTCCAGTAACTGTCACTCCATCCCTTTTGACCACAAAGGGCCAGTCCCCTTTCCCAGGGGCAGGTTCTTCCAACAGAACCCTTCCTGGGGGGTGTGTGGAGATTCCTGCCTTGGCTGGGGATCCCCCAAGGTCACTCCTGGAGGTTGAGAGCAGAGATCTCCCCCTGAGCATTGGTCTGGGGGAGTTCCATCCATCTCTAATTAAGAATTATTGCTTTTGTGCCAGCTTTAGTAGAATTGCTTCAACAATTGCTTTGGTGTAGAGCACTGTCCTATCTTATCCTGTACTCCTGGTAGTTTTAGTGTTTCTATTGTGCAGTAATTAATTGTGTTGAAAATCTTTTGTCTGATCATTTGTAACCCTAAATAATTCATTTCTATCAATAGATCTGATTTGCCATCATTAAAACCTGGGGGACAAAAGTGGTTCAGTCACACCTCTGTAATTCCTCTAAACTGAAAGTGTTGGGATAATCCAAGGCTGAGATTGGATCCAGCAACCCCCAGCACCCCACAGGAAGTTGGGAGCTCAGGGGACCACCCCCCTTTGCCAACCCCCCTGTGCCCAAAGACCCTCATGGGACCATCGGACCCGCCAGACCACTCCCCTTTTCCACCCTTGTCCCTGTTCCTTCCACTTTCCCATTTTCCCCTCAATCCCCATTTCCCCCGAACAGTTTTGGGTCACAACCCCCGTTTTTTCCCCCCTCTCCTGTGGTCACTGAAGGAGAAAATGAGGCTGCACACACAGAGTTCCATTGTGGGACTTGTCCTCCCATCTTTCCACGTCCCCCTTTCATTGGGGTTCCT